AGATATTTTCCTTTTCAAGACAGTTGTAGTGCAGGAATTTTAGGGTTAACACACTTAACGGTGAATGTGAAAACATTGACCACCAAAAGTATAAATACAGGGTCAGAGCCTGAGATTGTGGAGCAGCTGTTAAATTACTGTATTGCATACTGATAACCCTACACCCTACTACCTGTGTTATAAGGTGGTAGACTCTCTTTTATACCAGGAGCCACACTCTTCCTGAATCTACACATACAACATCATTCATGCAGACTGTTTTTATGATGCTGTGCTTTGTTTTTAATAGGACACTTTGTACGTACCTGTATCACATGCAGTACAGTGCGTCTCTTTGAACTGCTCATATTGAGATGATAGAGGAATGTTAGGAGTAATCACTTGTATTGAGGTAAACACAAGGATCATGTAGTAAAGGCTGTAAAGGCTGTATCTGAAATCAGGATCTTTCAAAATAATATAAATCTTTGTTGTCGTGCTGTATAAAGTGTCCGATATATGTGTACAGCCCTACAGTATATTCATTCAACAGAGATGGGTCAACAGAACAAAAGGAAATGGTAACATGAGTTTAAAATTAAAAAATATAAATCATCATTCGGTCCATTAATATTTCAAAAGAACAACACACAATGCTATGATTCTAATGATCGCTTTCTCTTTGTATAAGACTAAATAAAACAGGAACAAAAGACAAATGTATACACAGCTACGACTGCTACAAATGTGAGCGAACCACTAGTACACAGATAAACTACTTCTGTTAAAAATAAAAATATTGTTGAGAGTTGTGAGCCCTCTGTAAGGTTCAGCTTGAGGTGAAATATCCACACAACCAAAAGTAGACAAAAGAGTTTTTAAACTCTGATCCCACAACATGCACGCTTGTGGTTTTTCAGTTTCTACTGTTTGGTGTTGCTTTGAGCACCCATTAGTTATACATAAATCTTGGACTGACAGGTCAGGTTCGTCATATAAAAGACTCCAGTTACTGTAGGAGAAGTCAAAGCTTTAAAGACTTGGCAGCATCAGGTCCATGCCTGTCACGCTGACTTCAAACTGCAGAATCGAGTCGTACTCAGGAACTCTCTCATCCTCACTCTCTATTTTACATTGTCCATTACAGTAAGTACAAATGTCTGGAACTCAGATGAAAGTGTCTAAGTCCGGAGGGGCAGCCAGTGTCCGAGCCCCTCAAGGAACCTCCGTACGTTTGTGATGTAGAAGTCGACGTTGTGAGTGAAGTCGGTGCAAATGTTGGAGTAAGTGTCCACCAGGGTGCAGTAGAGGGCGGTCCCGCCTATGCTGATCACCACGGTAACCAGACACAGCAGCAGTAGGATCAGGCAGGAGTCTCCACCTACCTCATCTACAAGTAAGAATTGGACAAATGTAATGTGGTTCTTTATGGTGTCAACATATTTTGACAGTTTGTCTACAGTAGCATACAGATACATAAATCATGCATTTCAGGTTTCCTCCACATTCTGATAGAAATGTTCACATTACAGATGAGTTCAACTGTACCTTGCTCAATGCCGTCCTCCGGCTCACTGAAGCGAACTTTGCGTTTGGAGTTCTGTTTAGTGATGTTGTTGCTTGGGGGAGGCAATCCATCCAGAGATGCTCTCCTCCTCTTCAGAATGGAGACAAGACCATCAGGGGAGGAACTCTGGAGGAGACACAGAAACAAGAGAAATGACTACTAATGTTTTTTGGGATCACTTTACCCAGAACCCGATGAAATCATCCCAATGTTAAGAGTAATCACACACACACTATCAGTAATAGGGAGTGAACAGGTTCCACCTGCAGACTAATTTCAAATGGAGAAAGACAGTTGAGGAGGAAGCATGTATGAATCAGAGGCCAGAGCCTGAAAAGAAGCAGCCAGTGGCGTTGGATGAAGAGGCAAGACCCCTGCTTGGCCTAAAGTAGCAGGCCAGAACGACACAGAGGGGGGTGTTTCTGGGACACCAGAATTCACCATTGAGCCCTCCAGAGCCATGGTCATGAAAAAACAAAATGTCTGTTTAAACTGCAGTTAGGCTGTACAGTCAGTAATGCAAGGCTTAAACACCTCCCACCCTAATGAAAACCTTTTGACCTAATCATAATCTCTAAACAAACCACTGAGCAGAAACAGTAACACACAGCACGGTCATATGCTGACTACTGAGGTGGAGTCATCTCTCAAGCTGTCAGCCTCAGCTGCTGACATCATTTATAGGTCAATTATCAGCTGAGGTCAGTGGGTCAACAGCATGCAGAATATTGCAGTGATCATCACAAATCTCCACATAGGTGCATTACAAATTGAACTGGCTAAAGCTACATTAGTGACACACAGGGACATTTATTTTTAATGTTTTGCCTTTTATTGCCTTTATTGCCACAAGAAATGTTGTTGAAGTAATTTCACGTAAGATGTTATAAGTTAGTGGTAGTGGTATGGATATATGAACATTAGCAAAGGATATGAGTCCTGTAACTGATGATCTCTCAGCCAGCTGGTGTTGTGCCAGACAGAAATAGAACTGGACTAAGAGAAACAGTCAAAGCCACAAAGCATCATAAAAAAATGACTCATCCACAACAAAGGAACCCGTCTTTCAAATATTTCTAATGCTTCATTCTACTGTGTTTGAAAGGACACAGTATGGTCAAACTGTCAGCAAAGTGATCTATTATATAGTACATAAACTAATGCTGCTGCCTGCTGCTCAGTTTTGTTCAGCCGGTCAAAACAGCCGGTGACCTGCTGAGGACTGAATGAGCAGTGAGCTACCATATATATATATATATATATATACCAATATGTATACTATATATACAGATGTGATTGGTGGAACAGGTCACAGCAGGAGGTAGTGGCATGGTGTAATAATAAAAATAATTGCACAAGATAAAAAAACATATACAGTAGTAAAATTTAAAGATAATATGGGGCTCTGAATGTACAGTACAGGTATAAGATAGTCTTAACAATGTGCATGTAAGAAATTATATATATGTATTTATGCCTTAGTTGATGTCCCAATATCTGTACCACTACAACCCTCCAACTCATACCAAATGTTAAAGTTATCCTTTTAAACTCAATAGAATTGTAGTGTTTCTTTTTTTTCCTTTATATTCTGTCCAACTGGCATTCATTTATTCCAGCACTGCTGTTGTGTATTTTCTAGTGGTAGTCTAGTGACACAAATTGTATTTCTTACGAAGTGACTGCAAAAGAGAAAGGGGAAAAAAATTAAAACTTACTTGGTAAAAAAAACCCTAGTACCCTATATAACCTCTCCAAAATATTTTAATTACAAAATATAGGGAGTCCCACCCATGTCCCACCCATTTAAACCTCCACTGGATTACATAATAGCCTCGATCCTGACCCCCATCCCCATTTCATCCCCACCTCTAGGAAGAACCAGGCCCCTTCAGCTCAGTGTTTGAGCCAGGACATGATGTCTTGGCTCAGGCCCCGGCTCAGTAATCTAACCCATTTGGCAGAGTATACATCCCAAGTGTCAGGCCACGCCAGTGAGCATGGATGAAGGTTTTTGAACATAGAGAAGTTGGCGATGATCTCACCAAGGGATCGCAGAGATCATTCATGGGAGTGTCCCAGCAAAGACAAAGAGCTGTGGGTCAGAGAGTAGAACTTAAACAAATACAGTCTTTCTTTCTGCAGGCGGAACGTATAATAGACGGTAAAAAAAGAGGAGATCCAGCAGAGAAAGGAAGGAAGGATACAGGAGATGATACATGGATGGTGAAGAGAAAGGAAAAAGGCAGGCAGGAAGGAAAGGAGAGGGATGGATACAGGCCAGGAAACAGTTCTCTGTTATACATTAATCTCATACCCAAATCATATTCTGTGATCATCTCTTTTACTACAATGCTTGTTTTTACATCACCTCCTCTAGACAAACAAACAACAGACTAGCAGACACAAATTCATACCCCCTCTGTGTGGGACAGCTTAGCCAGGTCCTTGTCTGAAGCCTGGGGGACTCCTGTTGGCCACTCCACCTTCACCTCTTCCTCTGGTGTCTCCCCACACGGCTCCTCCTCCTCCTCTACTTCCTGCCCTTCCTCATACGTCTCTTCTTCTGCTCCTTCCTCCTCTTCCTCCTCATCCTCACCTCCCTCCCGATGACCTGTCTGCTCTGATTCTGAGCTCTCTGTGCTTTGCTCTTGTTCTTCATCCTGGTGTGTTTCAGGACTGTTGACTGGAATGTAGGAGAAATGGGACATTGAGTATTGGTTATGGATTATTACTCAAACCTTACAGTATGTGAACGTATTGATACAGAGGCCCCGTGTAGCCTAATGTGTCCACGACAAGGTCATGGTAATAATAACCATTGTTAAAGGAGGTCAGTTGGAAGTGTAATCTAATATATGTTGGTCTCCACTTTTCCATTGCCATTGTCCATTTGTTTTTCATTCCTGCTGACAAACATAATTTGGAATATTTAATAAGTGATGACAAGTTTAGACACATTTGTGTTACCTAGTCTATGTGTGGATGTGTCTACGAGGAGGATGAAGGCTGGATTTAGATGGAAATGAATAGCAAAGCGTGCTAAGAGACAGTGTTGCAATAGACCTTTTCACAGCAGCCATTTTAACATGAAATAGTAGGGTTAACACAGGTGTCACCAATGATAGTAGTTAACGTTCTGTTCCATTTAGTTTAGCAGAGCCTTTCCAGTGAGCCAACGTGCACAATTGCAGCTTCTTGAATTTATTGGCTGAATGGAAGAGGACCTGCTATTCTGCATGTTGGAAAGGTACCTGTTTAACATCAGTTTGTTAGCGTAATTATCAATCCTATGCATTCAAGCGCTAGGATTGGCCGGGTGCCTATGCACGTCAGGGCATGTACAGAAAGCTTCCTGACAGAGACTTTAGGAAGTAGGATGAATAAAGAGTGACAAAGTCCCAGAGAGAAAGTCATGGTGGATGGGTTAAACACGGCGTTTTCACCCAGGAGGTTTAGGTTTAGGAAACAAAACTACTAAGTTTTAAGCAACAATGGTTTCTGGCAGAAATCTACTCACACTTGCACGAACTAGGACGCCTGGCTAATCCTAGCGCTTGAATGCTATGCAGGGCATCTCTTGCCAAGAAAAGCAGTGGGTTTCATAATAAAAATCATTGTGACCATGCTAGTGCGCAGTTAGCATTTAGATCAAAGCAGTGGCTTTACCTTTATCATGACAGGGCTGTAGTGTCTCGTTTTCGCTCTGAACGTCTTTCAGAGTCGTGTTCAGCGTGTTCTGTTGAATCAAACATAGCTGATAATAAAGTATCCTATAAGTTATTATTATATTTAATTGAGCAAAGATCAGTATAGAAGGGAAAGGTTCACATGTCTTACCTGTCCCACACTGGTGGATGGTCTGAGTGATGCCAAAGAGGGGAACACAGGAAAGCCAAGACAGGAAGACCAGACAGATGGCAGAAGAAAGAGAAAAAAAGAGAGAGGCAAAGAGAGGTGGAGACATGTCAGACAAGGTTAACACGTGTGGTTTATTTGCAAAAAGAGATATCTTCCTTTTTAGCTTTTTTCCGAAATTGTGCACTATCAACTATCAGGCTATCAATCAAACTGGTGTTGCTTTTATACATTTTAGGAATGGCCTTTGTTTATTCTTCAGGCCTTTCCAGCAGAAGTTGGCATCTGTTCTCAAAAATTAAATCCACCTGCAACAAATAAAATGCAATAACATACCAAGAGAGTCACAGGATAGGCGGGACACAACAGCGTCTGGCATGCAGACCAGTGGTATTCGTGTCTTATGTGTCGGGTGGAAATCACAATCCTGCGGAAATCTTTTCTGCCCCGTCAGAAATATTGATTTTCTCAATGAGTCCCATGTTTGTCTATAGCCTCAGTGTATCTTCATGCATTACGTGACTCCTCAGTGTGCCCATATGGGAGACGAAGATAGAAGTAGAGCAAAATGGGCACTAAAAGTGATGAAGGCAATGGAAGGGAATGGCATGAGAGGAATATAGTTGAGAAGCTGAGCTGTTTACAGTGGAAGTTTGAGTACTGAGGTGTGGGAAACATCAAAAACATATCTTTACTGCATGCAAGTTTAATGACAAGGTCTGCTTTTGTGTCTAACTTTAATTCAAAGTAGAAGTATTAATCACAAGATAAAAAGGCTGTTTATGAATACAGGTATGGTCAATGGTATGTACTTATATAGCGCCTTTCTAGTCTTCCGACCCCTCAAAGCGCTGTACACTACATGCCACATTTACCAATTCACACACATTCATACAGTGATGACAGCATCGGGAGCTATTTGGGGTTCAGTATCTTGCTCAAGGACACTTCCATAGCCAGAGATCAAACCGCCAACCTTCTGATTAGTCAGCCACTCTACCTCCTGAGCTTAACAAGCTTAGATTTCATCTGAGAAATCCTGCACTGTGTGTTGCAGTGTACCTGAGGTGTGTCCTGCAGATCTGGCTCAGGGTCTCAATGTGTTTCTGACTGACGCCGTCTGTCTCAGCGGGCAGGCTGCTCTCAGTATTCTTCTTCTCCCTCCACTGACTCTCTGGGAACACGTGGAGTACACATGTACAAAATAAATGCACATACACACTTTTTCTCTCAGTATTGCACAGAATTGCATTCAGGTGTTTGATAATATTATACAGAGGGAAGAAACAGCTGCATGCAGTACCCCAGTTTTCCTGCAGGGTGGCGAGGTTGGACAGCAAACGTTCATGGTAGAGCTTTTCCAGCTGTAGGAACCGGATGGCCCACTGGTCTGGTAGCATCGCTAGTTAAAGACACCAACTGAGCCTTTCAATCTATACATCTTTGATTAACTACAGTTTTCGTTATTTTTGTAGCTTTAACATTGAATGAGATGACACTGCAGCCAAATGAAATCCCTAGCCTAGAGTGTAATTTGAAAGAAACCCATTTGTTTCATTCTGTTGCTGTTATTTGTTTTAGTCTACAACGCAGCTGTATGATGGCAAGAACCAGGTCCAGTGTGTAACATTTCAGTCTATTGGTAGAAATGGAATATAAGTATGTTTTCATTAGTGTCTTATCACCCAAAAATAAGAATTGTCATTTTGTACCTTAGAATGAGCTGTTCCATGGTGGCTGCCATGTTTCTACAGTAGCCCAGAGCAAACAAAACAAATACTGGCTCTCGACAGGGCACGTTTTTTGTGCATTTCATGTCCACTGTAGTTTCTACCTCGCACTTGGAGAGGGAAGGTGACGCGAGTGAGTTGCAATCTGCAACTACACAGCTAGATGTCAATAAATCCTACACCCTGGACCTTGTTATTATAATCTGAGATAACTTTTGTTATGATTTGGCGCTATACAAATAAAATTGAATTGAATTGAATTGTATTAAGAATGGAACAGTTAGAAGTTAATGTACACGTTATGTAAAATTATACTGTGCAGCAAGGGTCTGTTACAGTTTTTCCCATGACACAAAAACCAATTCCTTTTTGCAAACAAATACTTCAATTTAAGCTGTTGACTCACACACCATGCACCTTTTAAATACTAATAAACCAAGATTCTCTCATAATCAAAAGGTCACCCCTTCACTAACAGACTGGACATCTTTCTTGTTCTATCTCACAAGTCCTTCCTCACCGTGCATCAAGTCCTCCTACTTTCTCTCCGCCTCTGTTTCTCCCTCCCCCCGCACATAAACACGTAAACACACACCGACCTCCTTGCGGCAAGAAGGGCCGACAGCTGTTGCCAGGCCAACAGAAGAAACGGAGACAGAGGAAACTACCACTGCAAGCCTTCAGGGCTTTCAGCCAAAGTATGGGGAACACCCAGTGGCTGCGAGACAAATGAACAACAACAATAACGAGGCAGAGAAAGACAGGAGGGCTGAAAGGAAGATAGACGGCCAAACAAACATTCAATTGCTTATTGCCATTTTCAAATAGCTGGATATTATTACTGTTGTCCCTATAGGTCAGTGTCATGTGTTCCTTCAACAGATCAGCACAGGCCTAATTTTGCTCCCCACCAAACGTGGACACCATCCTAGACCACAGAAGCACTTACTCTCTTACATTTATTTATCATCACATGTGCCAGTCTGGCTCAGCTGGAAAATACTAATGATTGGCAAATGTCACAATTCATAAAAACAGAAAAGATGAGGTCACTGTGCACTTGAAAGGATACAGTCCTCTTTGAGCGAGTAGGCCTCTGCGATCTGAAAAAAAAAACAAGACAATTGAATAAACCAGAGGTACAGTACACTGATTCACACAGTTCGTACATACTAGCATCAGACATGTTACTCTGTGACTTAAAATAACTAAACAAACAGGTCATGTAACCGCGTTTCAGCGTGAAACATCGGCATTCAAAGCACACGGTGTCCTTAAACCATGCTAACCACTAATTATGGTGTTCAATCAAATGTAGATGTTTTTGTTTGAAATTCACCAAATTCCTTCAAAGATGAAGATCACATGACAGCGACATACCAAGAGGCAGAGCCATGCAGACACCCTGTCAGACATGAAGTCACATGCAACTACTCATGGTCCGGATTAACGTGTCTCTATGGGATTTTTTCCCATCAGCTTTTTAGCTTCCTCTCCCCAACCAGTCGACTGATTTAGTAAATCTAGAAATGAGGAAGTTTTATATCCAGATATATCCTTCTGTAATTCCATGATACCTGGTAGTTTTAAACCTGCAACTAATGAATATTTACATTATCAATGTAACATTTCTGCATTAAAATGTTTAGTTGCGTACTTCCGTTACCCTAGATGTTTCCAATAATGATTCAAACCCAAAGAAATCTGTAACTTCACCGGTCACCTGTAAATGACATCAATACCCTTTGTGCATGTGTCAGCATTGTTGAAGAATAAGAAGCTGTCATAAATTACTTATTTTTCCAGTTTTAAGCCACATTTTTACAATATACTTTTTAGATCTAGGTCGTTTTTAAATATATATTTAAACCGGATGACGGATTTTAGTCCTCCAGCACATCCTCTGTCTGCTAAACAGCGTCAGTTTTATGGTGTCAGTTTTATGGTGCAACTACTTTATTCAGTGTTTTTACGGGCCTTAATCTCCGGGTCCTTTTGTTTTGGAGAGAGGGAGAGCTCTGCGGATAAATTGGCTCCTGGTAAAAACGTCTGAACAATAAACACTGAAGGAATCCTAATTGGGAGAAGCTGACTGCTTGTTGGCAATGGTGGGGAAGAGAACATCTCCCATGATCCTGCGCTACTTCACAACGCTATCAAACTATGTCTTTTCTTACTGTTTTGATGTGAGAGATTCCTAGAAAAATAAATTACATATTGTATCTTTAATCTGCTTAATATTTCTATTTCTAACTAGCTGCTGTGTAGGCTCAATGTGTCTGCGTTCTTCTAGTTGTTGCTGTGAGTTGTTGCTGCTAAACAGCAATAAACAGAAGCACTGTTACCTTCAGGCTGAGTGAGAAAACAGATCATTTATTTACTCAGTAAGAAGAACAAGAGCACACCAGCCAAATTCCTGCTTGCCTCGCAGCAGGGCCCCCCTCAGCAATCACATCCACAAATGCATTCTGCTCACACTTGTTTTGCATACTTTTCAGCAACATTTTTTAGGTTAGCTTTAAGTCTAAAGTGGTTGGTTGAAAATTATACCTGAACTTCAGGCTTCTTTATACTATAGGACACTACACAAAATATTCTAAGAAGCCAAGGTTGTATTCAGCAGAATTGTTGAGAGATTGCTTTATTAATTTGAATGTAGCCTTGTAGCATCAGTTTAATGAAAATAAATTAGATCAAACATTCAATCGGAAAATACCCAATATTAGAATATTGAAGGATTCAGATTGTGATCAGCAATAAAAAACTCAAGACTAATGTTAGCAACTATCACTTCAAAGAGAGTCTCTAATATAGGGCCCCCTGACCCCCTAGGCCCCTACAATTGAGCCCTGCAGGCCCGCTCAGTAATCCATCCATCTTCGTATGAACCTCGTTCTTACACAGATATTATTTCCCTGATAATTCAGTGACCTTTTTTGTATTCTCTCATTTAATTTTTTTTGTTTGCACTTGTAGCTGTATCCAACATTCATCAAAATCTTGGGTCACCAAGAGCCAAACCTCTTATCAGGGGCAAACTCACATGAGAGCCTAGAAATTTGTATTTTTATTTTCTCCTCTTTGGATTATTGTTCTTTTGGGTATGTTTAGCATTTAATAAATGAATTCAGGCCATGAAATATCTGGTATGCCAGAATAGCAGATGCTGGCAGATATGACCAAATAAGGACCCTCATGTCGAATAGAGAGCGAAAGACACTGACCATGTTCCTGCTAAAGTGGGCCTACATGTTGAACATATCTGAACATGTCTCAAGTCTCTGATGTCATGTCCCAAGTCATACATTTTGATAATCATAGTCATAATACGCTCTTCACCAAATGTATGACCACCATGTTCTTTCGTCAAATTAATATTTGAACTGGATTGCCTCTCCTTTCCTTTTTTAGCATTTTAGGCAAAACAGCTTCACCTTTGTTCAGTAATTACTGCAGTTGGCAGTGAAGCAAAGTAAACTACATGCTTCTTAAAACATGGCTCAGACAAATGAATCATATTGTTAATTGTCATAAGTGTTGTTAGGAAATTGCGGTCTACAAAGTATTGCATGAAACCACTGATCCTTTTAAACTAAACACAGAGACTAAACCAAGCTATATTTATCACACCTCTAATTAGCATGTCTGTTTGAATGCTGTAATTGTAATCTGAGGCACGGCAGGCGAACAAGAGCAGAGGGGTTGCCAGTTCAAATCCCTGCACCTGCAGAGTAGAGCAGTTGCATAAATGTTCTTTTCTGCTTCAGTTACTACTGCTCATGTCTCCTTAAGTGATGCATTTACAGGAAAGATTTTCAGACAGCTGACCTTTTTAAATTTGAAACCAAGCTTTCTCAGTGCATTTGCATGCTCTAACAAGCTACTTTGATACGTTTGAGAAACACCACCTCAGGGATTTGTTATATTTGTTACTTTGTAATCAGGTCACACAGGAGGACTGCCACACACACACAAATACTGTAGATGTAAGCATACAGAGACTCAGACATATGTAGATGCATACACACCCACACATGAGACCATTCTGTCTGACTAAATAAAGACACATTTCCCTATGGATTTGGGAGAAAAGAATCCTTCCACTTTCTCTCATACACACAGACACACACCTGGTGCAGGGAGTGTGGCAGCAGTGTATAGTCAGTGTTTTCTCTGAGGGACTGCAGGGAGGCCAGCAGCTCTGGGCTGGGGCCTGGCGGTCCATCTCCGGAGACCATTCCTGGAAACATACAACACAAACATACACTAGAATGAAATATACCTAATACTTCACATGTTTCAGGAACATTATGGAAGGGTTGTAAGGGCCTATCTCCTTTCCCTTGGATGTGTGCACACATTCATATATAAAACTTAACAATTACAACACACAAAGAAAACAGAGAATGCTACGCCTCAATGGACAGACTCCCTCCCCAACCGTCTGGGAGTGGAAGACCTACATCAGCCCAGCGCCCTCCCCTGGGCAACATCTCCCCTTAAACTTAAAGCTAAACTAATTTGAAAATAAATATTAAATGAAATTTAAAAAATAAAAAAAACTCCTCTGTTCTTTAAATACAATACAAATGATCATAATAGTAAATCAAAATATCATATAGTATTATCAATTAATATTGTTTTATTATTATTATATATAAATATTATATATTTTTATTTATTCTGTATTTAATTTTGTTTCTTCTTTCCTATCTGACACCATATGCAATACTCCTCACCCCACAGAGCCACACATCAAAACATACACCCACATTACCCACACCTATCCTACTCATTTCTACTTCCGGACTCTTACCATATCATTACATAGATCATTGTTACATTGTTATTACATCAACTATTTTATATTTTGATCTTATTGAATATATGTCCATTCATTATATGTTCTATATTACCAATATGTCACCAATTTAAAAAAGGGAACATTATGTTAACTTCCAAAAGCCTTGATTTGTAAATTCTGATCATAGTATCTTTGCTGTGGTGTATGATTTGTTGGTTTGTTTAATCAATCTGTGATACAACATTACTGCTTAAAGGAGCATGCAATTCACACACAACATCATTTTTTGGATCTTGATCCATAGTAAAGTCAGGATATCTTGGTATCTCTATGTGTTGCATCAGTTTTGATCATTCTTCTCTAATCTGTCTTTTGCACTTGAAAAAAATTCAATACTAATACTCACTGGAGTATTCTAATGTATACATGTGGAAGGAAAAATGGTTTAGTTTGACAACCAGTATGTCAGTCTGCTTATATTTACCTGTGTGTGTGTGTGT